TTGTTCATTACTTTACTAATTTATTATTTATTTGTGTATTTGCTGTTAAAGTGAAATAAAAATTTAATAGTTTTCATATAAATCAAAAAAAGTTTGTTTTCAGATAATATTTTCAAAAACATACAATTGATTTTATATCTAAAATATTCTCTATAAATAATTTTTTTAATTTTCATATAAACAAAATACAAACTGCAACATTACATTTATTTACGGAAACTATCTGGCAGCTGAGTTGCTGCAACCTTTTTGTTGTTTACATGGTTAGCACAGATCCTTATAATGACTGCCTAGCTGTCCCAAGAACGCCACTTATACGGAAAATTAGCATACACATCAAGGTACCCTGTGATACAAATTTTGAAATAATTTAATTTTTCCCGCGGAAATAATTTAATTTGAATGTTCAAATTAAGTCAAATTTTGACTTCATAGTGCACCAACAAAAACACTTGTAGAATTTGAACCACTCAATATAATTTGATAAAAATTGGTGCAAATGTAGCCAATAGTCACACCAAACTCTGGACAAATTTTCAGCCTGATTGGATGACTGGTGTAGGATTTATTGTAGTTTTAGTTGAAGTTTTGTCAGTTTTTTGTTACTTATACCTCAAAGCATTACTGATTACTTTGAAATTCGGTCACTATTTTTAAAATAATGGTTACATGAGTGTTCTACTATGTAATACCAGCAATTTTTTTAATAATTATTTTATTGGTACATGTACAGTTTTCATTTTATAGACCAAAATAGTGATTTTCTACTTGAAGCGTGATTTAAATAGTCTTATGCTAATAGTGTCGACACGACCTTCAAAGTGGAGGGGTCAACCCCTCAATTTCTAAAATAAAATCCAATTTCTAAAATAACTGCCTATATTTCTAAAACAAAAGGTCCTACCAAAAAAAAAGTAGAGAAGGACATGACCCCCTAGCCTCCCCAACGTTGACAGCCATGTATGCTTTGCTTGAATATACCAACATTCCCTAAGGTATAAACTGCTGCCAAAAAAAAAAAGCTAAAAAAAAGTGCAAAACCTGGTCAAAGGACTACCAGTTAGTAAAACAAAAAATAAAGTAGATATAAAATATTTTGTATTGACCTCCTTAAATACATTTACTTTTAAAATGAAGTGAAAACTATTTAAACCCTATTTTTTACATTGTATTACCATCAAATACCTAATTACATTTTAAGAAATGTTTTTTTAATTTGCTCCACCAAAAGATTATTAATAAATAAATGTACTCCTTTAATACAAATACTCTATAATAATACTTTTAAAGATGGTGAAAATATTCATTATACGCCGTAAAATATGAATTTCAGCAGCCTAAAAACTCAAATGATGTTCTTTAAAGATGTTCGACCAATGTTGATAAAAATCTTGATGAGAAGTTTCAACAGTTTGTTCACTATAAGGCCCCAAGGGGGATCCTTTGTTACTGATGAAATCTTTAATGTGGTAGAAGATGGCGTGAATTTTGGGTGTTACACTTGCACCAGTTATCATTAGGTAACACTTTTTGAAATTTTTTTAGCAAAATCTGGCTGAAGGATGTTTCCAAAGCAAGCCTTGACAACTAAATTGAAACTTTTGAATGCATCAGTTATGCACACAATATTGGGAACCATGTTTGTTTAGGCAAGTTGCTGCAGCATATCCACATTTTTAAGAAGCTTCCTGCATTCCAGAATGATTTCCAAAATCAGAACATTGACAGGCCTGCAGATGATTGGCTTTCGTATGACATTGCCAAACAGCTTTGCATTAGCAACAACCCCGCCAGATTGCTGAAAAGATTCATGGCTTGAATTATTTGAGCCCAGTGTTTGCAAGTTTCCAGATTTGGCAAGACAATTGGATTTGACGTTTTGACGTCACACCAGGTGAGTAACATGATTCACAAGACTTGATAAATCGTTTCAGTGAGCAACAACATGAACTGTACAAGAATCTGTTTTTTTGTTTGCGATTTTTAAGTCGATGCAGGTGAAGAAATCGCTTAATTGTTGACCTAGTCTTAGAAAATTCATGTAGAAATCTCGATCTACCATCTTGCTACTTGATGTTTTGTTTACAGTTCTAACAAATTTCTTTAATCCGTTGTTTTTAGTAAGTTTGTGTAAAACTTTCAAATTATTTGTTTTTAAAGAAATTAGAAACTTGTCAAAAATATACTTCTTGAAATCTATCTAGTGTTATTTCTTAATAGTCAAGACTTTATTTCAATATATATGTTAAAATGATTTAAGTATAAATATTTACCAGGGGTAACTGTAAGTGGAGGCCCACCAGATGCTTTAGCCAGTAGAATAGTTCCTAAGTGGAGGCCCATCAGATGCTTTAGCCAGTAGAATAGTTCCTTCCAGAGATAATTCTTTATTGGAAATAACTCGAGATGCGATTTGTTCGGATGATTTGGCATCTTTTGCTGCTAAAGATTGAATGTTTTCCCTTAACATTATTTGAGAGCATTGGTGGGGCAAACCTTTTCCTAAAGAGCTGAGGCATTTGCTGCAACACACCTTTGGTTTTTTCTCAATAGTGGTTTGCTCTATAAGAGGATGTTTTTCTTGCAGCTTTGAACGACCAATTCGGCATATTAGGCAACAACACATCGTACCTCTTGTTTCAGGTCTCACTTGTATTCAAACACTTGTAATCAAACAAAGGAGGGAGTGCAACTTCTTTCCCCTCTTGTTTCCTGCGCAAAGTAATTCTACACGATTCACAGAATCCTTTTGGTACCCAAGTATTACTGATATTGATCTTGGTCTTGTACAGTTAGCATATTCGATCTGCTTGAAAAGTAGTAAGCTGTCTTAATCATTTTTTCAGACAGAGCAAGCACACAAACTTTTGATTTTCATCATGATTCTTTGCTTGATTTGGCATTGTGGCAACTCACTAAACTTGACTTCACAAAATCAAACTCTGCCTTTTACAAAATTTGAACTAAATTTATATTTGATAACAATCCACTTAACATAGTAACACATATTATTAATTAAAAACTATTAAAATAAAGGAAATATTTACTTGATTTAATTGAGGTAATATCAAATTACAAGGAAATAATTCTTGAATAGTTCTTTCTTTACCAGGAAACAATTGTTTAAACTATTTACTTGTAAGGAAATTACATTATTAATAATTGTCACACTTATTAAACTAATGATACTTGTCACACGGGTTGTTTTACTTCAAAACAACGCTTCAACCTAATTAGTTATTCAGTTAGAGTTATTTTCCTCCGACTGGCCCTCCGCACTTTGTATTTGTCAGATATCTTAGTAACTTATCTAAATTTTAAAGTCAATTATCTTTGTCAATATAAAAAATATTTGGTTGTTTCACAGTTGTTCTGTTTTCAGATAAATAAATATTTTTATTTTCTATATAGGTATCCCTAGAAATCCTTCTTAACCATTTTTTTTATAATTTTTTTGCATTCTGGCAATAGTTTATACCTTAGGAAATGTTGGTATATTCACGCTATGCATACATGACTGTCAAGGGAGCCATGGTCTGCCCACTTTTTTTTTGCGAGGACCTTTTGTTTTAAAAATATAGGCAATTATTTTAGAAATTATGGATTTTATTTTAGAAATTGAGGGGTTGACCCTCTCCACTTTGAAGGCTGTGTCAATGCAATTGGCATAAGCCAATTTAAATCACGCTTCAAGTAGAAAATCACTATTTTGGTCTATAAAATGAAAACTGAACATGTATTGATAAAATAATTATAACAAAAATTGTTATTACATAGTAGAACACTCATGTATACGTTATTTTAAAAATAGTGACTGAATTTCAAAGTAATCGGTAACGCTTTGAGGTATAAGTAGCAAATCAGGCTCAAATTTTGTCCTGAGTTTGGTGTGACTATTGGCTACATGTATTAAGATTTTAAAAAATTCCTAATTAATAAATTTTCAATACTACTTGAGCATATTTAGTTACCTAACTTAATACATGTTTTAACTTAACACATGTTTTAACTATGATTATATAACATATTAAGAGTTGTTTACTACTTAAAATGGATAAATAATAATATAATATAATAAAAAATAATATAATAAAAAAATTTATTAAGGTTAGACAAAATATATATATGTTGAATTGTTTTATGTTGAACTTGAAATACAAATTGATTAAGCCTTACTTCAGTTGGGACTTAACTTTAAAAAAACTTAAAAACTAAACATTAACTTGTGACTTGTGAAAATACAATGACTTGGTTGCAGCTCTGTTTTGTATAGCTCATAATGATTTTTGTAAATCCTGATATTTTATATAGTTTCAAATAACTTATCTAGTTCTTTAAATTTCATAAATTTTCTGATTTATATGAACCATTTTTTTTTATAGTGGCATAAGTCACCTTTTCCAATAAATCAAGTTATTGATAACAATTATTACAATGTTACGGTATCTTATCATTTGTGAAAATTTCACAAATATAACTCAATAATTTCAAATATAATTTTCAACACAATTAGTTTAAATTATTTCACAAATGAAGAGATACCGTAACATTGTAATAAATTTATCAGCAACTTGATTTTCTTGAAAAGGTGACTTATGCCACTTTCAAATTTATTTAGTTTTTGGTATTTCACATAGTGAAATTTAGGGTCATTTAATTTTTGGTATTTCACATGGTACCTAATATCTTTTCATTTCTGATAATTTATTCTAGTTCTTTCATAAACATATTTCAACTTATTTGATTCCTGATGTGATAAAGTTTCTGGTATTTTTATCTGTTTCCTAAGACTTTACATAGTTCCTAGTGTTTTGTACTAGCTCCTAAATTATATAATTTCTGATGTTTTTGACATAGATAGTTCTGGAAGCCCAGTAATATCTATGCTCCATTGATATGAGTCAATATTTCCCAAACTATTTAAATCATAAAATTAGTACCAAAAAATATTACACAAAATGCCATTATTACCATGAATACAGATAAAAATATGAAAATACCAGGAAGTTTTTTAATCATTTTTCTCATTGGTGTTGTAAGCTCATTTCCTTCAAAAGTTGTATTATGTAAAGCCATTTTCCAATTGTTGTTACTGATTATTGTAATTGCTGTCTCCCTTAAATTAAAAGGAACTATAATAACTTTAAATTGTCAAACTATTAATTGCACATTTAACAACTTAAATAAAAAATGGAAATATATATATATATATATATATATATATATATATATATATATATATATATATATATATATATATATATATACACACACACATGTATATATTTTTAAAGTCAATATAAATGCATTATTTGCTTTCTGATTACCATTCAAGTTTCTCTCTTTCTCTCATATATATATATATATATATATATATATATATATATATATATATATATATATATATATATATATATATATATATATATATATATATATATATATATATATATATATATATATATATATATATATATATATATATATATATATATATATATATATATATATATACAATTTATTTATATATATATATATATATATATATATATATATAAATAAATTGTATTAGTTTGTATTGTATTATATTGTATAGTTGCATTAGTACAAATTTATAACAAAATGGGAACAAATTTATTGTTTCACTAAGCAAGCAATGCTTTTTAACATATTGTATTTAGTTATTTATTTTGAATAGTTTGTGAATATGTCTAGCGTCCTGCTGGCCTAGTGTGCAACTCCTTGTACTTTATACACATATAAATGATATATTAATTTCAGCTCAGTACAAAAAAAAAATTCAGGGCTTTGGAGCTGCTCCAGAGCTGGAGCCAGAACAATCTGGAGCTTGTGTTTTTACAAGGAGCTGAGCCGGAGCTGAAATATATCTAGGTGGAGCTGGCTACAGAGCCAACTCAAAACTAGCTCCTCTCTTTGTTAAAGGAATTCCTAAGTACTATGAGGTTATTATTTATATGAAATTTTTTTTTAATGTTAAACAGTAATTAATAGTCATTTAAAGTTTTTAAATAAAGCATTTTATGTTTTGATATTGATATTATATGTATAGATTGAGTGTTAAGTATTGGGTGCTCACCTTGAGGCAAAAATATAATAGTGAGTCAAGAAATAAGAAAAACAGCGAAATCATCTATAGCACTTCATTCAGTTTTAGGTAAATTTAATTCTGATGAAGAATTAGTCAAGTTTGAAAAAGAGCTTGATAAAATAAATAAATTGAGAAGTTGGACCAAAATTAATGTTATAAATAAAAATACTTTTAATACAAATTTTAGGAACAACTGTCACGACCAGAAGAAAAAGACCATTTAAAAATGAAATCAGCTTTTGAGGGAATTGAGGAATATCCGAAAAAAATACAGAGGTGTGCAGAGTAGTCACTTCTATAGCTTTCACACAAGCAAGTGTAGAGAGGCATTTTCTGCACTTGAATTTACACCAAGCAATCTTGATATACCCACTAAAACCTGATATTTTATAAAATATTTTATTATTTTGATTTCCTCTGGAGCCGCTACAGAGCCAGAGCTGGAGCTAAAAGTTTTAATGGAGCTGAAGCCTGGAGCTGGAGCCAATTTTTTTACTTCGGTTCCAAAGCCCTGATTTAATTTAAATATTTTTAATAAAAATTATGAATAATTTATAGATAAATTTAATCAGTTACCAAACAGATATTTGTAAACATAATTTATGTTCATGAACAAAACTTACGTCAAAAGAACTTTTGGTGACATTGAATTATGAAATTGAATAAATCAGAATTTTTTTTTTTTTTTAAATTCTGTTTGTGAAAAGAGTTCTCTGAAACAAAAACACCTCTCCATTTTATTATCTCCAAAGTTTTATCATTGCTTTCACACATTTTTATTATCTCCTAAGTTTTATCATTGCTTTCACACATTTTAATTTGTGACGGAAAGACTTAATATTTTTACACAATAAATTATTAGTTTGCAAATACAAAGAAAAATATTTGTATTTTTTTAAGTCACATCTGCTAACTAATTCATTACATAAAATATAACAAATTCATTACACAAAAAAGTCTTTCCATCGCAGATTAAAAAATATGAATGCAAATATTTTTTTTTTTTTCAATTTAAAAAAAAGGAGAAGTGTTTTTGTTTAAAAGAATTCTTTTCACAAACGTTTTTAAAATTTTTTGTTTCTTATTAATTCAATAACGTGTAAAGTTCTTTTGACATTTATTTATGAACATAAATTATCTTTACAAATATCTTATTGGTACAAATAAAAATTCTGCTATGTGGATATTATTTATTCACGCTTACAAATAACTTTTTTTGTTTGTTTGTTTATTTTTTAATTTACCTCCTTAAGGCCATGAAGGTCACTACAGTCAAAGAGGCTACTTTATTTGTGGTTACAACCCTCTATCAACTTTATAACTCTAAAACAAGAACCTTGATAAATTAGGCTGCTGCACAGAAAAACAAGTTAAACAAGGTGGGGATCAAACTCACAACTTCTTGCCTATGCTTTCAAAAAATAAAATGAAAATTTGTGACAAACAAACAAAAGATTATGTATAAGTATAAAATTGTTTTAAGAAATAAATTATAAGGAAATATAAGTTTTTTCAAATACCAAATTTAGATTATATTAGTAATTTTTTAAAATTAGTTCAAATGATTTTTAAAGTGGTTTAAAATTGAACTAAATTACAACGCGGTACTTTAAAATATGCTAATGACGCAATTCAACTTTTAACGATGTAAATATCAAAGCTTTTTTAAAGTTACATTTATTAGTGTTTAGCGCTTTCATTATGCAGCAAAATCTCATAACAAGGCCTGATATATACAGTCCCTGATCAAATTATTCGCCCACGTCGATAGTTTTTGTATTTTTTATCTTTTTAGAGGTAAAACTTATGCTTTTTATAAAAATACAGATAAAAACTTTATATATAAATAAAGTATAACTATTTTCTAACATAGGATACACAAAATAACAATAAGAATATGTTTATTAACATGAGTTTTTAATATTTTGTTAATCCTCTCTTATTTATTATAACTGCGCAAAGACAATTTGGCATGCTTTAAATGCAATTTAAAGCCATTTCTTTTAAATGTGTATCATGGTTCGAATGCCAAACAACTTTTTCAATCAATTGGGTCCTATTTGTGACCTTATCTAGCAAAATTTCTCTCTTTAATAGCTCACACACATTTTCTATGGGGTTTAGATCTGGGGAGTTACTAGCCAATCTAAAAGTTTTTAGAGACGCTATTAATTTTTTGATGAATTTTGCCGTATGGCATGGTTCTCCATCTTGCATAAATATTTTCTTCTTATTTGGAAACCATTTTTTCAATTGAGGTAAAAGGTTTTAATGAATTTTTTGCATTGGTCCTGTTTCTATATTCCATCCACAATGTACAGTTGACCAAAGCCTTTTCCACTAATAAACAACCAAAAAATGAGTTTAGGAAAGTGTTTAATTATCTGGTTTATACAATCTTTGTGAGATTTTTCATCAGAAGCCCTTTTCACATATTGAGTCTTTTGAGTCATAATTTTTCTATGGTAGACTCATTATTGAAGCATACCTGGAGAAAACAAGTTAAAAACAATCACTAAATACCAACTTTAAATAATATTAGGAATATTAGGAAAAAAAAAATATTTTCTATTATAATGACTTGCAGTCCAAATGATTTCAAGTCATCAACAGTGAAACTATTGTACTTCTTTGCCCAATCCAGATGCTTTTCTTTGAGAATTGGTTAATTTTGGCTTTTGTGCTGGCCTTCTACTTCTGATACCCAATCCATGAAAACTTCGTCGAAACAGTGATTGTTGCTACATTTAGTTTCACTTCATTTAACTTGCTAGTAATTGCTGAGTATGTGGCAAATCTATTTTCTTTCACTATTTTCACTAGCTTTCTCTCATTCCTTGGTGTTATTTTCTTTTTTTGACGACATTTACCTTGCCTCTGAATATCTAATGGAAGGCCATTTTTCAATATGTCTTTGATTCTGTTTACAGTTTCTTGAAATCTCACATTTTTTTGATATTTCACTTATTGAGTAATGCTTATCTTTCAGAAGATACTGAAAAATTGCTTTTTTTCAGAGCTGATCTCTTCTTTCTTATCTATTTTTTTGTTAGAATTTTTAGACAATATTTTTGCTAAAAAACCTTTTGAAACAGATAAAAATTGTTTTGTATAGAAAATATTGAAGCTAAGTATACAAAATGTGTAAATATTGTTTTAAAATAGTTTATATTTATTATAATTAAAGAACATTATAATATAAATCTAATGTAATTAAAGCACAATAGTTAACAAAAAAAAGAAAATAAGTAAAACAGAATGACGTACAAAATGCAAAAATCATGAATTAAACAGATGGCGTTTGTCCCCCTGAAAATGTTGGTACCCTGAAATTAATTTTATATTGTTAATAGCCTAAAAGACATAAATCAAAAAACATAAATCAGGAAATATAGATTAAAATTGCAAACCAATTTTAATGGTACCTAAACCATTAAATTATATAATAGAACACTGAACTAAAATAACTTTTAGGTGTCCCTTAAAATTTTTGAGCATTTAACAGGTCACTAATATTATCAAAAAAAATAATTTCTGAAAGCATGCCATATTGGGTTTCAAATGAAGCAAAATTATACAAAAGTTTCAAAAATAATAACTGTTTTATAAAAATTTATATATGAGATTTTATTGCATAAAAAATTTGTTTTTTTTAAACTAAAAATAAAGCCCATTTTTAAAATTTTTCTTTTAAAAAAATATTTTTTCTCAATGTCTAATAAAATGATTTTATTTTGTTGAAATTTAGCTATTTTCGGAAGATTGATAATTAGAATGGTAGATTATTATTTTAAAATAAACATTACCTTTGTTTGCTGTCGTATAGTAATTAAATGTAGTCATTATCATATGTAGTAATATGTAATTACAATAATGACTTATAGAAGTATATTACCTTTGTTTGCTGTCAATTGCATAGTCTAAACAATTCCTTCCTAAATGGTCTTTCCAAGAAACATCAGCATTTCTAGACAACAAAAGTTTCACGACATCAACATGCCCTTTCTTGCAGGCTAACTGTAAAGGGCTTACCTAAAAATAAAATTATTTAATAACAAATCAATAGCAACAGTGAAGTCAACACAATGTTAACAAAGTACAAAAACTTAAAACACAGCTAAGTACGAAGTACTTTTCTGTATTTGTGTAATATTTCAGGCTGAGCAGTAAAGCAGCAGTGGTACAGTGGTTAGAGCGCTTGATTAAGAAACAAGGTTCAGGGTTCAATACAAGCTCTGGGTATATTTTTCTATTTTGCATTGTGCTTTTTCAACGTCCTCAGTGACAATAAAAAATTTTTTGAACCAAATTTTTACACAAATACAGAAAACAGTACTTTGCTGTTCAAAAATCATGAAAAAACACAGCAAGGTACTTTGTCCTTCTCTTGTTCAAAAATCAAGCATAACAAGAAAATTAAAACTTCTCACATATTTATAATACACATATTAATATATATATATATATTAATATAATATATATATATCTCCTTTATATATAAGAATAATCTTAGTGTGCTAGTCTTGTTAGCAAAATGTTACAAATATATATATATATATATATATATATATATATATATATATATATATATATATATATATATATATATATATATATATATATCAGGCTTGGTCGGGAAGCGGGAGCGATCGCTCTCGATTGCTGACCACGTAAATAATATTTAGTTGCGAAAAGCTGGCCAGATTTTTTAGTTGTTTTGAGAACATTTTAAAAAGCAAAAAAAAAAAAAAAGCGACAAAGATTATTTGGACCGATGAGAGGCAATTACAAAAAAAAAAAAAAGTAGGCTAATAAAATATCTTTAAACGCGAAAAAACTTTAAGCTAAATAAATTACATTTAGAACAAATATTTACGAAACATCGCTTTTTTATTATAAAATTAAGCGATGTTTTTTATATAAAGTAACAACTTACGATCGTTTAAAAGGGAAACAAATATTCTTTATTTAACTTTTTGCAAGTTTTAGTTTTACTTAAGCTTAATTTATTTTATAAATAAAAAAGTTAATTTTTTTAATACCTATTTTATGTTTCGCGTAGTTTGAAAAGTTTAACATATTTGAAGCGATTCTTCTTAGTAAGATAAACAAATGAAATAATTAAATCATTGAATTACTATAGGAATTAAATTATCAAGATAGAAATCAACTAAAAAGGTTAAAAATACGTAATGACCAGGAAGCGAAACTGCTTTACAATATCGCTGATGATGTTTAGTGAGTGGGTTTTTAATTTTAATTAGTATTTTAAGCAGAAAAAAGTATAACGAGTTTTAAGAATGGCAACTTAAGCGAAAATAATTAGAGTTAGTAAACCAATATCTAGAAACTTTTCTTTATATCTAATTATTTGCTATTATATATTTGTGTTCTGTCGTGACTTCAGGCGCGATGCTTGCTCATCCGCGAGTTACTTTGTATGCGATGTTTGTGTTAAGTAACCAGAAACTTCTTATATGTTTGTTAAATAATTAGTTTTATTAACTTTAACGATTATAACTTCATTGAAAACGCAATTATTTTTGCAAGTCTTTGTTTAAATCATTAAAATTGCTTTAAAAGATACATTATGATAAATAACAAAATTACGTTTACATAAAGAATACAATCTCTTTTAAAATAAGAAATAAGAATATACTAATAAAATCTATGATTTATAATAAACTTTTAAAATTTTAACTATTTAATTAATATATATTTAAAACATTTATTTTCGTAAACAAATAATATATTTTCTTAAAATAATACTAGAAATCTCAAAACGTGAATAATACAATTTCTGAAACATTTTAACAGAATACCCTAGAACTTTATTTCGCTTAATCAGCGTATTTTTTGAACCAATAGAATTAGTTTGTTTGTTAATTTGGCGGGTTTTTAGTGTTCGCAAATATTCTTTTTATTCTTTCGCACAAAGATAATTTGAGAACATTCTAGTTTATTATGTTTCCATGTATGTCCGTAAAACAAAAATTCCTTGTTTTGTACATAAACTTAAATGTTCTTAAAACGACTAAAAAACCTGGCCAGTTTTACGCAACTAAATATAATTTCCGTGGTCAGTATTCGAGAGCGATCGCTCCCGCTTCCCGACCAAGCCTGATATATATATATATATATATATATATATATATATATATATATATATATATATATATATATATATATATATTATTGTTTATAGGTAAGCAGTCTGATATCATACTGAAATAGGGAGCGGCTAAGGCTTCATTACATAAATTGACTCACTAAATAGGGAGAACATGAAAGAAAGTGCCACTATATCGACTTAAGGTTTGGGTTAGGGTAGCAATCATTTATTTTTCATTAACCTTCGTTTTTTTCTTTTTTCTCCAAAAAAAAACATTATAAGCTAATAATGCTTTTATATTAAAGAAATTGAAAATACTTTCAGTAAACTAAATTTGCTGATAAAGTACACCAAAAATAATAACAATAACAAAATCAAAAATGAAACTTGCAATGAAACGTTTTATTTATGTTATACTCGCGTAAAAAAAAAGAAGAAGATAATTAAATATACATAATTTTTTTTTTTTCTATTTTAATTACAAATGCAAAAGTTTAAGTTACAAAAAACAAAATTTATAAATACAAAAATTAAACTTTTTCTTAATTTTCAAATTTAGGCAAATTTTGTATTTGTAAATAATTTTTTTTTTTTGTATTTAAATATATATTTTTTAAATTTCAATACCTAGTTTAGTAGATATTTAAATGTGTCAATTAAACTCTTGAATGTCTTTGTTGCTTATTTAAATTGATTCTAAAATAGCATATTGCAACAAGGTATTTTAACTAACATTCTATTTGACTGAAATTGGTGAGTCAAGCAAGTTTCTCATTTTTAAAAGCTATCGAGTTATCAAAAACTTTCTCATTTAAAAGCTATCAGTTTAAATAAGTTTTTTTACTTATCGCTGATAACATTTTAAAGCCTTAAATATAATACTTAATCAAGGGCTATTCTAGGAAAAAAATTTGGGCAGGGGTACCCTTTGTTCTAGAGAAATTTAACGGAAAATCTGTGTTTTTTTGCAAAAAAAAAAATACATAAAAAAAAAAAAAGAGATCCTCAAATTTTAATTTAGGCAGCACCCAATTTGGCGCCCAAATACGGTTGACGCTGTTGAAAACAATCTAGAATAGCCCCTGACTTAATGCAATCACTAAAAAATTATTTAAAATTTACACATAAAAACTAAATGATAAAATAATAAAATAACATTTAATAAACAAAAATAATAAAATAACATTTGATAAACAAAAATAATAAAATAAAATTTGATAAACAAAAATAATAAAATAAAATTTGATAAACAAAAATAATAAAATAAAATTTGATAAACAAAAATAATAAAATAAAATTTGATAAACAAAAATAATAAAATAAAATTTGATAAACAAAAATAATAAAATAGAATTAGATTAACAATAATACGAATCTTTCTAAAAAAGTTCAAAATTTTTTAAGTAACTTTAAAACTTTTAGTTTTAAAATACCAAAGTATTTAAAAATGTAAATATTCAAAAACTTTTCATACAATATAGTGTTGTAGCCACACAAAAAAGAGAAGCGATTTAAATATGAGAAAGTTTTTTATGAAGATTGCTCCAAATGAAACAAGTTGAATAATTGTAATTTAACACTCACAAAATATAAAAATATTACTGCTATAAATATAACAAAAAAAAAAATACTTCAAAGATATTTAAGTATCTAAAAAATATTAAAATATTCTACTAATGTGGAAACTTAATTTGCTTGTATAAGTTGAGTTAAGAACGTGTTAATATTTGGAATTTAGGTGTGGCAAAAAAAGCAAACGCAAGCCACTTGCTTTTTTTGCCACACCTAAATTCCAAATACCGCCAAAATGCTGTATAAAAATATCTTAAAAACGAAACGAACTATACTACCACAGCAAACAGTTCAGGAGTCTGGAGTCATAGCATGCCATGACATTACTTTCTAATGATATAACTTAAAAAATGCAATTAATGATGTCGCCAAAGCATAGGTTTTGTTAAAAAAAAAAAAAATTAATTATAAGTTTTAAATCAAAAAAATTGTTTATCGCGGTAATGTAAAAGTTATTTTGCTGTAAGAAAGTAATAATATAATTTAATTTGTAAACTTAAATTTAAAGCAATCCTTACACATTTTTTTACACTTATTTTCAAGTTCATTTAAAGCAAATTTTTCAACATGTTATGTATAAATCCAGAGAGATTTGAGTAAGAAAATTTAAAAACAAACGTTACTGCAAATAGTATCTAGCAATGACCAATAATTGGCAAAGTATGTATAAAACTACATCAAATTAATAAATTGTATTAAAAAAAAAAAAAAGAAAAAACAACTAAAATTAACTATATAAAGAACATTTTATTATATATTAGTTGTCGCATTTTATTTCACAGAAAATGTAGAAGAAGAACGTCATCAATTAAAGTAAGTAATTAATAACAGTTGCGTATTGAGACAGGGGTCAAAAGAACTTTTACCAAGGGCGCAAACAATTAATAATCATAAAAAGAAGAAGCAAAACAAACTTGTTTTTTTTAAAGACTTTTTTTTTAAGGGACCAAAATAGCAAAAAGGCATTTTTTTATTGTAAAATATCATACTTTTCTAAAAGTTATAATGACCCTCGCTACGCCACTGATAAGTTCAATATGATTTGTGTGTGCGTTTCATTTTATTTTTACTTTTTAAAGAAATGTTAAATTATTTAAATAAGTGCTATTATGTCCCGCTTGTTTAAAGATTCACAATAGTGAATCTCACAAGTTATAAAGAACAAAGTTAAATAAGACTTCCTTTTTTTATTTTTTTATTTTGTTTTCCTATCAAATTATAATTGCTCTTTTTGTTTTAAACATTTGTTTGAAATTTTTTTAATTTTTTAAAAAATAGAAATGAAAAAATCAAATTATATAAAAACATTTTTCTTTTAAAATAAGTAACAGAGAATTGCCTACTTAAGTTTGTTTTTTTCTCAAAATATAACAAAATATATAAATTTGAGTATATAATATATTAATATTTATTTACTATTTATTTTATAATAATTATAAATAAATAAAAAATTATAATTAATGTATATATGTATATATATATATATATATATATATATATATATATATATATATATATATATATATATATATATATATATATATATATGTGTATATATATATATATATATATATATATATATATATATATATATATATATATATATATATAAATTTCATTTTACTTTAGTTTATTAATGTATCAGGCTTGGTCTGGAAGCGGGTGCGATTGCACTCAATAACTGACCACGGAAATATTATTTAGTTGCGAAAAACTGGCCAGATTTTTTAGTCGTTTTGAGAACATTTAAGTTTATGTATGTTTCCTTGTTTGTCCGCAAAATAATAAGTTCATTTTGTCATAAATTTTAAAATATTTTGTTTTAGGACTTACATGGAAACGTACATAAACTTGAATGTTCTCAAAAATTCAGTTTTTTAAAATATTTCTGTTGAAATATTTTAAAAAACTGTATTATTTGAATTTTGTTACGTTTTTGTTAAGATTTCTAGCATAAATTATTTTAAGAGTATACTATCAAACAAACCATTATTTTAATTCTTGGAGCCACATCTACAAAGCTATAAATGTTTTGAACTAACATTTGTTAACAATAATAAATGTTTTAAATTTATATTTTTTAACTTGTCAACGTTTTGTAAATATATTTTAGATTTTATTAGTATATTCTTATTTTTTATATATAAGGGATTTATTTTTTATGTATGTAATGTATTTTTTTGTATGTAATGTATTTTTTATGTATGTAATTTTATCTACGTGTATTTTATTTAAATGTAATTATTTAAAGCAATTTGTGCTATTGATTTTGTAAACAAAAATACTTTCAATAATAACTGTGTTTTTAATGAAATTATTAATAATCGTATTAATAATTTTTTGTTAATTTCTATCAAGCTAATTGAATTTTTACAGTAACTCATTGATTTAATTATTTCATTTGTTTATCTTACTAAGAAGAATTGTTTCAAATGTGTTAAACTTTTTAAACTACGCGAAGCATAAAACAGTTATTGAAAAAACTTTTTTATTTATAAATAAATCGTCTGGTTAAATCTTGTTGGAATTTTCAGGGGTGGGGGCTGCATTATTTTGACGGCACTTTTTATATGCCACAGCGTAAAAATGACTTAAAAAAATACCGAATGGTCCGCTTGACTATTTCCCCTAACATTGTAAGTTCTGGGGCTATAGCCCTACTACCCCTACCCCATCTTCTCAATCCAGCACTGGAAATAAAACATAAGTATATAAATAAAAATTATATATACTCTTTGAAAAATCGAAGAACATTTGTTTCTTTATAGTTGTTACTTTATATAAAAAATGTCGCTTTATTTTATAAAAAAAGTTATAAAAGAGCGACGTTTCAAAAATAATTGCTCTTCGTGTTTTTTCGCGTTAAAAGCTATTTTTCTTTTTTTAACTGTCTCTTGTCGGTCTAGTTGCGCTTTTTTGTTTGTTTTCAAAACGACTAAAAAATCTGGCTGGTTTTTCGCAACTAAATAATATTTCCGTGGTCAATTATCAAGTGCGATCGCACCCACTTCCCGACCAAGCCTGATGTATTCGACATCTTTAATAAAAACAAATCATTATTTTAATTTAAGGTAAGTTTTAATTATTTTATAATTAAGAACTTTACAACACATTGAAAATAAATTCACTTTAAATAAAAGAATTTTTAAGCATGTTTTAAATAAATATATATTTTAGACTAAGTTTCAAACATGTTTTTTAATAACTCTACTTGAAACGAATGTTCAAACATCTTTTCAATAAATCCACTTAAAGAAAATTTTTTAATCAAATTTTTAATAAATCCACATTAGGCAAAATTTTCAAACATGTTTTAAATCAATTCAGTTTAGGCGAAGTTTCAAACATTTCTTAAATAAATCCACTTTAAGCTAAGTTTTCACCACTTTATATTAAGTCTCAAACATATTTTTAAAAAATTTACTTTAGACGAATTTCAAACATTTTTGAAAAAAAATCTACTTTAGGTAAAGTTTCCAACATGTTATCAATAAAAATTACCATAAACAAATTTTTGCACTCAGTCTCCTTTTCATACAATCATTAAAACTCCTATGTTAATTTATTTTAAAAATTTTAATGTATTTCACGTCAGAAAAATCACTAATTTGATTATTATCATATTATATCAAATATATGGTAATTGTGAAATAGTCCAATTTAAGTTGTCTAATTATTTTCCTTAAGTGGAACCTTAATTGATGAAA